CTGCTTTGCCCTCTGACCCTATCCCCTCTCGTGTGTTCTCTCTCTCTCATTCTCTCTCTCTCAAATAAATAAAATCTTTAAAAAAAAAAAAGTATTTGTAATATCATTTCATACACCCTTACCTCCCATTCTCTCTTTAATCCATTCCAGTAGGGCTCTCATCCCATAATTCCACTGAAATTGATCTTGCCAATGTCTCCAGGGACCTAAATGTTGCCTAGTGCAGGTTTTGTTATTTCTAATCTTAAAGAACTTGATCGAACTCTCAATAGTATTGGCTAAAACTGGTATCTTCATTCTCTTATTACACTTTTCTTTTGGGTTCCATGACACTGTTTACCCTTGTTTTTTGCCTATCGCACCAGCCATTACTCAGGTTTGGCTTCCCTGCCTTAGTCTTTTTCATCGTTTCAAATAGCACTGTTCTCCTTGTTCTTTAACATTACAAAACTGCTTTTCAGGATGTAGATCAACTATCATATCTTTTATTCATGTGCACATTAAAAATGGCATTCTGATTCATATATTGAAGATTTTATAGTAGCTTCATATTTGGAAGCCATACTAGCTCAATTCTTAGAAAAAGCGCTCAAGTTTCAGAGTTTGACAAATCACAAATACCATTAGGATGATGATACGTGATTCTCAGATATTTCTAAAGAAAAGTCCAATGTTTGGAACCACAGTTTTCATTTAAGTAGCTTAAGAACAAAATATCAAAGTTTACATGTTAGTTTTTGTAAGATGTGCGTAGGTCAATAAATAATGTATACTCTGCCACAAATCAAGTTCCTTGTCAGTCAACACATTTTTACTGAGTGCATCCACTGTACTAGGCATTGTGCTAGATGCTAAGTTTACCTTAGTGATTTAAAGACTTGGGGGCACCTGGCTGGCTCAGTCAGTAGAACATGTCACTCTTAGATTTCTCAGGGTTGTGAGGGCAAGCCCCACATTGGGCATGGAGCCTGCTTAAAAAAAAAAAAAAAAAAAGACTCATGATCACAGACCTCAAACTGGTATGGGAGACCGGCAATAAATTAGTAATTAATACTTCCAACTGGAAAAGGGTATAAAAGGGAAAGGAAGTCAATATTAGAAAAGATAGCAAAGGAATGCTGTACTAAATTTTGTTTTCTTATTTGTTTTAATTATGAAATAAAAGGTTATTTCAACTGAGTTCAACAAATTCTGAGAAACTACTAAGAGACACTATGTTAGTTAATGAGAATGAAATGACAAAGAATATACATTACTTGATACCAAAGGAGCGTGTTGTCTAGTACTCATAACTACTAAAGTGGCTGTTGATGCTCTTGGATTTTCCTAAATAAATGCTTAGCTCATTTATTTAGTCTGAAATGTGATTTTGAATATGCTACAAACTGAATTTTTATTGGTAATGTAATTTACCTAGACCAATGTTTTCAAATGCTTTCAGTATAAAGACCTATATTCAGAATTAATATATATCAAAAGTTTTCACATGAAGTCATTCATATTTTCCATCATTTATGTCAGAAAAATAGTTCATAGTTACTATGAATTTGGTAACTCTTTAAAATAAGTGTGCATTTACTCAGAAGAGAATTTCTATGCATTTTAAATATGGCCATATATGTATTTATGATGTGCATTATTTAGTCAAAATAATTCATACATTTAGGAAAGGATTCCTTACAAAATATCAGCTAAATACAGAGGTGGAGCTACTGCTATACTTGAACTATCACCACACTTTTCCATTGCCTCTTGCTAAGATATAAGGGAAAACTCAATGCCATACATCTGTATAGTGTTTAAAAATGAATAGAGGAGAGAAGGATGAATAGGTAGAGCACAGAGGACTTTTAGGCAATGGAACTATTATTTACTACTAAATTAGTGGCTATATTAATAATAGGGAAGGTTGGGTTGGGGAGGGACTTCGGAGTAATATGGGGACTCTGTATTTTCTGCTCAATTTTGCTATCAACTTAAGACTTCTCTTAAAAAGTCTATTAAAAAATAAACAAGTGGGGCGCCTGGGTGGCTCAGACAGCTAAGTGTCTGTGTTCACCTCAGGTCATGATCCCAGGGTCTGGGATGGAGCCCCAGGTCCAGCTCTCTGCTCAGCAGGGAGCCCGCTTCTCCCTCTCCTTCAGCTTGCTTCTCCGCTTGTCCTCTCCCTGTCAAATGAATAAATAAAATCTTTAAAAAAATTTTAAAAAAATAAGTAAATGTACAGGGGAAAATATCTACTTATGTGTGTGCATGCAGACATATATATGTATGCATAAATGCACATATATATGTTAAATGAGACTAATAATTGTACATAAGTGTATATATATATATGTATGTGTATATATATATATATGGACAACATATGAACCGGCCTATGCACCTGCAATTTATGTACACTGTATATACATATATTTTCAATCTTCAAAGCAGCTTTTGAGATAAATATTTGTCATTTTAGAGACATGTAATCTAATATTTACAGTTTAAATGTTTTCCAAAGTTCACACAGCTCTAAGGACCACAGCAAGGACAGCCATAATTTCTTTTGTTGACCATTATTTATAATCATATTATTACCTTTCTTTTCAATACAACTGAAATTTAGGAAATGAAAGTGGAATGTGATATGTGTTAAAGGTTTGCTTGAATTTAAAAAGGAACAGAGTTAAATTAATGTCACACTAATGATGTACTAGCGTTGCTGATAAGAGATGTGGCTACTCAATAATTCAGGCAAAATATCTATTTTAAATAAAGGGGAAGTGAATTCTCAAATTAAAAATAAAAAATGCTCAGTTTCAACACCACCATCATTTAACAAATCATGTCAGTGCCCAGAATTTCATGACTTGAGAAAATATGAGAAAACAACATTTCTTAGTGCTCAATTGAAGATTTCACGCAAGCCACACACACTGCTCAGCGGGGTAGAGTTCATATTTCCACATCTTGCTGGTCTTATTGTTTAATTAATTTAAAAAAGCTCTCCCTCAAACCAATAAATACGAAGTTGCCAACATAAATATTAAAACATAATTTGTAAATTTGAATACATTTTTTTAAAATACATTGATTTTTTTTCATTTCCTAAATTATGCAAATATCCCCCAAAGTGGTCAGTTTGCACATCAATGTATTTTTCAAATTGAAAAAAAAAAAATTAGCTGACCCAATGCAGTAGCCCAAAACACTTGATGGCACCTGCCAGGATTGAGGAAGAAGCAGGTGAATCACCTTGGGAGATATCCTGACGTTTGACTTCTTTCATAGTTATTGAATACTTAAAACTTCCATATGGTGCAGGGCCCTAAAAGGATTTGTTTATAGGGATTTAGAAGGTAAAATTTAGACAGTCATATGATTGTATAATCATGAGGAAAATTCCAATTTAATACTTAGAAGTGTGTGATTTTTTGTATGATGGATTTATAATTTTTCTACATAATTGATAGGAATTTGCAGGTACTACTGTGTTTTATTCAGTGTGGGTAGTTCCTCACAGAAGACAGGTTTGATTGAAAGATGGCAGTGAAAAAAAACAAAACCTCCTCTACTTCCAGAGAAATTCAGGAGATGGGAGTGTGTGAATTCTCTGGTAATCGGATCTGTCATTAAACCTCAATTACCTCCATACACTCACTCATACTGTCTATTCTCTCCTGCCATGCCAGGCACCCTCTGTCTCCAGATTACAATGGTCTGGGCTCCCAAGAGGCATTCTCTGCCATAACAAAAGTACCCAAGTCCCAGCCCACTGTGCAGGCCACATTCTCAAGCATGCTTTCCCCTGCAAGAACTTCCTCTCAGGAACTACTCCTGTATGCCATTTCTAGTATAAAGCATCGATGATGTCTTTTATTACTTTACTAAAGTATTCTCATTTAGTCTGAGAACTTAAAATTTTACACTTGTTTTTCCAAACTAAAATAATATCAGAATACATCCTGTCTTCAAGAAATCTTTAAATTATTAATGTTGCAAGTAATCTTGACTCTATTCCAGGTTAATACACTATTGGCTATACATATTTACTCTACAGGTAAACAAATACTGATGAGAGATAAATGAATAAATATTTACAAGTCTGGTTTTTTTTTTATTGAAATGAGATGGAGAATTATACTGATCACCAGGAAAATAATAGGACCTAAAACTTGCTTGTCTTCTACGAGATATGTAGGTTAAGAAACACAGGGGGGGAAATCAGAGGAGGAGATGAACCATGAGAGACGAAGGACTCTGAGAAACAAACTGAGGGTTCTAGAGGGGAGGGAGGTGGGGGGATGGGTTAGCCTGGTGATGGGTATTAAAGAGGGCACGTACTGCATGGAGCACTGGGTGTTATACGCAAACAATGAATCATGGAACACTACATCAAAAACTAATGATGTATGGTGATTAACAGAACATAATAAAAAAATTTAAAAAACACATTTACACTATTTAAGAAAAATAGGATACAATTTTAGTTAAGTGCTAGAATAATACTGTTTTTAAAGAAAATTTACTTTGAATCCATCCTAGGAAATCTATACCTGTAGACTTATTTAAGGAATAAAGTTTGGCAATCATTGAAACCAATAAATCAGAGCAGAATCTTTAAATTCAAATATCAAACATAACTTTATTACTTTTGCAACTTTTGGTGATTAGTTATTTGAGTTTTCATAGGGCTAATGAACATCTGTTTTAATAACACTAAGTAATCATAATGGGAATTTTGTTTCCATGTGGTCCATTTTAACAGAAACCAACTTATTGCACTAAGATCTATTATAGCATGGTTTTGTTTTTTTTTTTGGAGTGTAATATTAAAGAGGGACTTAATTTGTATTGCTGAGTGTCATTTGTAGCATTGCTTTCATAATTTATTTGGCATACATTTATATTCTGGCAACTCTTATTTAATTTTTATGGATAGTTGAGATGTACACGGCATCCTTCCCCCCTCCTAATAACCTTGCTACCTTTCATGAACCCGTATCTTACAAGAAATATGCTTTGCCTTTTTCCACAGGTGAAGCATATAACCTAACTTAACCAATCAATCCAGTATACCCCTCTATCAAATGAGTTCACTAAAGGTAACTCTCAGTATTCCGAATTCTAGAAATCTGGTTTTCTCTCTTCTTCTCTACCATGTAATGTGTAGGTATGAAGTCTAGAACAGCTATAATCATTTGCTACCAAGCAGAAAGTTAATCTGAGAGGGACAAAGCCAAGAAAATCGCAGGGAAATCCATCTAGGCCTTAATCCTATTTAATGTTAAACCCAATTTAACTCTTGGCATTGTCACATGAGAGTGATTTTCTTGTAATCACTTACCAGTTTGAGTGGGGCCTGCACTTACTTTCAGGTGAAGTGTATAATGGACAAGAAATTTGTTACCAAGAGTGGAGTTACAAGTAACAGGCCAGAATTCTTTAAAAGTGAGGAAAGTGAGAAAGACCACTCTCTCACATGAGAAGTTGAAAATCTTTCTTTTACAATTTGCACAATGGTTGGTTAAAGTGGAGTTATTGTAATTTGGGCCTCAGGGCATGTGCTACCAACAAGACAGCCTTAGGCAACTGAAGGGGGAAAAAAAGTAGGATAATGGATTCTATAGTCTAAAAAGAACAATCTTGCTTTGTTGTCTACTTCTCAAACCAAATAGAAAAGAAAGCTTGGCCAAGTGACTCTTCTGTCTTTAGTCTGCAATACAAGTATACTAAATTTAATTTTCAAGGACCCCCATGACTGGAAAAGCTGAATTACCCACAACAAACCAAATAGAAGGCTATCGAAAGCAGAGATGAGAGACACAGTGGGAGAAAACAGAGGAATGGGAAATATATGGCCTTATTCTAGCATATTTTTCAAGCACTGTCTCCTGAAAAAAGTATAAACACTCGCATTATGGAAATGAAATCAAAATGAAGGTTGAGAAAAAGATAAATAAAATACTCACCCACTACAGCCCATTCTATTGGCTTCAATAAAGATATTACCTATATACCTATATATCCACATACACGTTAGAATACACACATATCCAAAATAGGACTCATACAGATGAATGTTTCCCAATTAAAGATGGAAGCAGCACTATATTTATAACAGTATTTTTGACAGGACTTTCATAAGACTATCCATCTGATTTTCAAATTACTTAAGGTTAGTGTGTTAAGTATTTTCTGTGTGTAATTAGCTGACATTCTTTTTATAGACAGAAATCAAGTAAGCATTGTTTTTCAAAATGATTTGCAGGTTAAACAACATTTTTCCAAGATGCTGTGGATACCAAACTTATAACAAGCCTCATTAAGAATAATTTTTAATAAACATAGCAAAAAAGACTAAGTCTGATTTCCTTTTACAGTAAATATTTAATTTTTTTTGATTTCTAGTTTACAAGTGTTTAAAATGGACAAGATGATTTTACCTCTTCAGTAACACTTTTATATTAATTCATGATATTTTGATTCAATATATGGTAATAAATCTCCACACATTACCCATTAGTATTTTTTTAATGGGGATGTAATATTAACAACCACTACCTATAAAACACATCATTATTTTGGTGCTTTTACAAATCTTTTCTCCAGCTGTAAGTTCTAAAAAAAAAAAAGAAGAAATTTTTAAATTCTAAGAATTAGAGAACACTGAAAACGTAATGAAGTTGAATTCCACCTTTATAATATTTCCATTTTGTCCTAAAAGAGAACATTAAAAAATGTGACGTTGCTATACCAGACCACCTTGCTAATGTTATAAAAGATTGGCAGGAGCAAGAAATTGTGTCACTGATAATGCGGATTTTTTTAGTTATATCTACAAATCCTTAGTAAATCATTGTTCAAAAGTAAAACAAAACGTGGTGATCCCTGAACCATTTGATGATGCTTGGTCTATATCAATTTTTTTCCGTTCATAATCATCATCCTCCCCTCAAATGCCTTTTAAAAAATACATTACACAGTACAGTAATAGAAATCAAAGACAGCACAAACTATCTTCAAGAACAGAAAAATCTGTAGCACACAAAGATATCTTATAGTAAAGAGCAGACTTCTTTGGGGACAGTCATCAACTAGCTTGTAATTCATTATGAAGATTTCTCTTTCCTTTTATGGGGAGAGTCTACTCTATTTGAAGTTGCCACACCATTTTCTGTTCCTTTTCTAGAAGACCTCCCTTTAGTCCGTTTCTTCTTCACACTTGGGGCCTGAAGAGTAGTGTCTTCTTCCATCCACCTTTGAAGCTGGACATTAAATAAATTCCATGTTATGTATGCTTGGATGGTGCAACTGGATGACAGAACAGCAATTTTAGCTGCCAACACGTTTACGTTTCCAGTAATGGCATCCGGATTCCGATTCTGCCCTCCGGCCAGGTGAAAGCCCACAGTCACTACCGAAACAATTAAAGTCACAAGTCGACCCAAAATAAACACAATTGCCCACAGAGAAAACTCTTTCTGGTACTTTTCATCACTAAAATAAAACAGGTCACAAATGTGGGAAAGTAACTCAACAAAGTAGTGCATCATCAGAAGAACAAGTCCCAGATGATTCAAGTACAAGAGGTAAGCTCCAGCAATGTGAAAAAGATGAAGACCGATGTAGACCAGTTGACGGGGGATATCTTGCTTTTTGGTTCTCTGGAAATAGAGTTCGGGAAAGGCATGAAACCAGTAAGCCAATTGTGATATGTAGAAAAACTTCATCTGAAATGTCATCATATTATGGGGATGAGCCCTCCATAAGAGAGTTGGGTCTGACAGACAGTTTTCTGAAATTAGAATGAATGTGCCCCAAATACAAGAAACAAGGTAGAATACACTAAACTGGCCAGATTCATTAAATTTGCTTTGTTTCGCTTTGGGGAACTGCATTCGCCTGTTAATTTTATCCAACACATACTCCTGAATTGTGGCGTGAATGATGATTGCCACTAGCATGTAGAAGAAAACCGTGGCCAAATCTTTGATGCCATAATAGTAAAGGAACTTTGATTCTGTGGCTCGTTCTTCTGCTGCAGGAAAGGTAACACTGTGCTGAAGAGTAATAAAAACGATAGACGCTTCTGCTGTTCCCTCGAACATAAGCCCCAGCACGAAGAACATCCCCACACAGGCGACGAGGTCCGCATGATTCTGCAGGATGAATTCGTGGCTCAGGACTGGGGGGTTCTTGGTGCTCTTCTTACGAAACGCCATGGTAGCGCTTCCCAGATACTCACCGACGAGCCGCAGCTGCCTCCCCCTGGCTGCTCCTCACAGCGCCGCTCCGGGGGCTTCACTTCCCATCCCGGAGCCAGTCCCGGGTCGCCGCGGCCGCCCAGAAAAAAATAAATCAAAGGCAAGGGCCGAGCAGGACTGAGCATGCGCACCAGGGGGACGGCGGAGGCAGGGAAGGAAATCGAGTGCCGCGCCCCTGCCCGGCGCCAGGCCCGGGGTTGCGAGCGTTGATCTTCCACGTTGATCGTCGCCTCTTGAAATCCACTGGCACCGTCAAGATGCTCCTGAATTATTTTTCAGTGGCATCTTCGTCAGTAATCATGACAAAGCAGGATAGAACTCTGGTTATTCTTCATCAGCATGATTATAAAAACAGCATCAAATAATAATGATGATAGAAGCAAACTCTCATAGTGCTTAGCATTTACAGGTGCTGTTCGGGGCACTTTGCTTCTATTTATAAATGTGTTCTTTCTGGAAAGCCCAATGAGGTAAATACGGGGTGATAATATTTTTATTTATTTATTATTTATTTATTTATTTTTTTTACAGATGAGAAACTAAGGTACAGAGAGGTTAAGTAATATGCCCAAGATCACACAGCTGGTAAATGTCAGAACCAAGATTTGAGTCGTCTGGATCCAGAGCATGTGCTCTTCACTGTTGTACTGTATTGCCTCTTACTGTAAATCCTTAACACGTGGAAATATTTCACTACAGCAACAACAAAACATTATTAAAAAAAATAGTTGCCGTATTAGGAATAATAATAATTGGGGCGCCTGGGTGGCTCAGTTGGTTAAGCGACTGCCTTTCGGCTCAGGTCATGATCCTGGAGTCCCGGGATCGAGTCCCACATCGGGCTTCTCCCTCTGACCCTCCCCCCTCTCATGAGCTCCCTCTCAAATAAATAAATAAAATCTTTAAAAAAAAAAAGGAGTAATAATAATTGTGGCATTAATTGTACTTACTATATTTTTAAAGGTTGAGTGGTGGTTAGACGGGGACAACTTTTTGTCAGTTCATAGGAAGATATTTTGGCTATAAAGCCCAAAACTGATTTTCCTTACTCTAGCAGATAATATCCTCATGTTTCATTTTTATGATTGTTGCATATAAATTTGCTAAAATACACATATTGAAAAACAGCTTCTTTTGTAAATGCTAATGCCTTGCTCTATTCGAATTTCATGTCCGTCTTCAAATTTCTCTTTGGATCCAGAGCAGTTTTCTTGTTTCTTCTGGGTCCCCTGAGATCATAATCATTACTGATAGTTAAAGTTTGAAGTTTGGAACATACATTTCAAAAGAAAAGTGCTACATGATTTAAAGAATAAAGCGCACATTAAATTTAGAATGGCCAATTGCCTTTTATCACTTTCTCTGCATGCTGTGCACTAACAAAAGATGCAGTCCAACTGGTGTAATTACTTTTAAGACATTGAACAAAATACTCTGATCAGTGTGTGCCTGCATTTCCTAGGACACCCAAACAATTGCATATGGATTTTGTTGTGGACAATGTTCCTGAGTTAGGGAAAGTACTACATATTTTACCATAGTAAGATTTCTCTATTTGGTTTTCCTAGCTGTTACTCAGCTGTTGGCTCTGACAGCTCAATTAGAGTGCTATTTGGTGTTAACTAAATCAGTGGAGAAATTACAAATAGGGGTGCAAAAATTAGGGCATCAAGAAATGAAAAAAAAATCAAACTTGTTAAAAGTAGTTGAGAGGGGAACGAAGAGAAAAGCAGTGCCATGTGGCAATTATCAAGAGTTTATTCAGGAAAATACATATCTACCTTTTTGAAACTAATCATTTTAAATAGAGAATTCATCAGTCTTTCTATAGGAATACACAATGGCTGTGATCCTTTTGTGGCATACTAACTAAATATAAAAAACACGTGCAATTTTTGAGCTGAACTTCTGTTCATATTTCTGTTTGGCATTATTTTTGACAGGCTTTCCAACTCTACCTATGCAAATGTGATAGATGTTGCCCTCAGAAAAGGTCCATATCAAAGTGAAGAGCACAAATGGTTATGCACAGATATGAAATGTTATTTTATTACTAGAAGGGAGAAAGACCATTATGAGTTAGTCTAAAATTGTCCCTTAACTTTAAAAAATCCCCCCCCTTGCTCTTTCCTTGGTTTTTAAGTAGAGAAACTTTTTTAGCCATATATCTTTCCTTTCTTTGAGTTTGTAATACCAAATGATATTCTGTAGTTCAAATTGTCAATTTAAGCTTTACATTAAATACAGTCCAAGGGCAGGGCTTGAGTTTTAGATTTCACATTAATATCTTTATAAAAATATAAAAATGTCAGACTTCTGAAATTATTGGATTCTGTAAGGGTATTGTAGTAATATATAACATGATGTTTGTTTCTGGTAGTTTTATTGGCACTTTTATTTGACAAAGAAAGTGTATATAACAAAATTTTCAAAAATTTTGTTATCAGTCTATTGGTTATATAATTTCATGAATTTGGAGAATGGGTATTCCTCCTTTATGCAGAACCCTGTGCATATGGTAGATAATTATTAAATTCAAATGGAGGGTGCCTGGGTGGCTCAGTTGGTTAAGCAACTGCCTTCTGCTCAGGTCATGATCCCAGGGTCCTGGGATCGAGTTCCGCATCGGGCTCCCTGCTCTGCGGGGAGCCTGCTTCTCCCTCTCCCACTCCCCCTGCTTGTGTTCCCTCTCTCGCTGTGTCTCTCTCTGTCAAATAAAAAAAAAAAATATTTAAAAAAAAAATTCAAATGGAGACTTCTGCTTTCAGTCATGAGGGAATAACTGATTGAACTTACACTCCTACTGTAAATAATTGGCAAACTGGACCAATTATATGAAACAACTCGTTTTCATATATTGGAAAACATAAGACCATAATCACTGACAGAAAGCAGACAAGTGAGGTGAGCCCCATAATTGCCCTGATTATCCGCCTGGAAGCATTTTCCAGTCTACTGTGTAGGTGTCACCAGCTAGACCCCAAGGCCTTACTTTTACTGCCCACCTGCTTGTGCTCACCAACCTATGTCCCACATTTTTCCTTAAGCTCTTCTTTCCACCCTATCTCTTAACCCCGGCAAATGGAAACTGAAACCATCCCTCGAGTGATAGCGCGTGCCCTGACAGGACCTCCAGTCAGCCCAGACCACACAGACCAGTTTGAGTGTCATCCCCAACTTGTGCCTATGCACGTGGAGTGATCTCCAGAATGATCAACACCTACCTTTACCTCATCATAATACTAAAATCTCCACCCATGGAGGAGCACAAGCCTCATTTACGTAACATACAATGTATGTATAGGCATGTTTCCTTAAGGCACATGTGTGACCTTAGGTCCACCTCGACATCTGAGGACAAGGCTTCCCTATCTAAATATTATTCATCCTAATCCTACATAAAAGGAACCCATCCACCTTCGCTCAGGGAGTCACAGCTTTGGAAGCCATTCCCTTGATCTGCTTATTTGTTGCAAATAAAAGTTCTCTTTGTGGGCGCCTGGGTGGCTCAGTTGGTTAAGCAACTGCCTTCGGCTCAGGTCATGACCCCAGAGTCCTGGGATCGAGTCCCACATCGGGCTCCCGGCTCAGCGGGGAGCCTGCTTCTCCCTCTGACCTTCTCCCCTCTCATGCTGTTTCTCTGTCTCTCTTTCTCTCAAATAAATAAATAAAATCTTTAAAAAAAAAAATTTTATTTGTGAGACAACTCAGCCTGGTGCAGTTTCTGACTCACTAAGGAGCAAACACATTGGTTCGGTTACACAGGGAGGGGAAACCTAAGAAGAGCCTGGAAACCTTGCTGAATTGAGGAGAGACAGGAGTTAGGAGATGCTGAAGCCACTGTTATTTGCTAGGCATAATAACTGCAGAGAAAGTTAGGTGATTAATATGCTTCAGAAATTTGCAGAAGTGTTCTCTAGACACTGGTTAAAATACATGAGACCGACCAAAGAACAATGGAGGAAATGTAAAAGTTTCCAAGAATCCTGATAGGACTAGGAGACTTTCAAATTTGGAACAGTTAGAAATTAGAATTCCCTGGGAATACTCGTGAAACTCTACTTTTAGTAGAGACCCAAGAAAAGTAAGGCTAAACTTGCCGTAGGGAAAAACCTAATTCACATTTGTCCACATAAAGTTTTCAAGAAACTTTAAAGGATCAAGGTGCCCTGCGAGGAACTTTACTGTCTGCCAGAAAAATCCAGCCCTCAACAATGCGAAATTCACATTGTCCAGCGTCTAATAAAAATTATGAGGCAAAGGCTGGGTTCAGCTGAAATGATCAGAATGCCTATATGTGACCTCTCCACGTGGTATTGTCATAGAGCAGTGGCTTTAGGCCCTAAGAATGAGTTTTCTTGTGAAAAACGCAGAAATTTTATGGCCCTTTGTGACCTAGCATTGGAAGTTATGTCCTATCACTTTTCTGGTCAAAGTGGGTACAAAACTTTCAGGCTCAAGATGCGGCAGGTGTAAGGGGAGGGTGGGGAGCATAGACATCCCCTCCATCCCCTCCATCCCCTCCATCCCCTCCATCCCCTCCATCCCCTCCATAAGAAGTGTACCACAGTATTTGTAGGTAATTTTTAGGTAGCTGCATTCTTTCCTTTGAGGACAAAAGTTTCCTTTCACATGAAATATACACCGTTTCTTCCAGAAGCAAACAAAAGTCTCACCCCAATAGAGCAACAGTCTCAAGTTTTATTAGGTAGGAACTTGAAAGCTAAATTAGATCCAGGCACTGAAGGGCTCCCTGGGCTCTTTGTTGCATTTATTCTTGATCTGAAGACATGTGAACTAAAGAAAGAAGGTTTCTGATTCCCATACATCAAAGGCATAGGAAAAATGCAATAATCACTTCCATTCAAGAAGTGGGCAAGTGGGATGCACACCGCATTCAAAGGTCAAGAGTGATTATGAGATCTATCCCTAAATTCCCTAAATCTTTGACGTGAACCCAGTCATCCTCCCTGG